CTGGCCTTGCTGGCCTGGCCTGGTCTTGCCTGGCCTGTCCTTAATGGCCTATCCTTACCTGGCCTGGCCTTGCCTTGCCTTGCCTTGCCTCGACTAGGCTGGCTTGCCTTGCCTTGCCTAGCATTTCCTGGCCTGGCCTGGATTTCCTGGCCTTGCCTTGCCTCTCATTTCCTTGCCTTGCCTTGCCTTGTCTTGAATTTCCTTTACTGGCCTGGCCTGGCCTGGCATTGGCTGGCCTTGTCTGTCCTGATATTACCTATCCTTACCTGGCCTTACCTGGTCTTACCTGGCATTGCAATGCCTGTCCTGGTATGTCCCAGAGTGGCCTTGCACTGCCTTGCATTGCTGTGCCTTGCCTGGCCTTGCTTTGATTTGCCTAGACTCACCTGGCCTTCCCTGGCCTGGCCTGGCCTGCCCTTGACTGGACTGCCCTAGCTTGCCTGGCCTTGCCTTACCTTGCATGGCCTTGCCTTGCCTGGCCTTGCCTTGCCTTGCTATCCTTACCTTGCCTTGCCTTGCCTGGCCTGGCCTAGACTTGCCTTCATAGCCTGGCCTGGCCTTGCCTTACCTGGCCTTACCAGGCATTGCATTGCCTGTCCTGGACTGGCCTTTCCTTGCCTAGCCTTACCTTGCCTTGCATTGCCTTGCCTGGCCTTGCCTGGCCTGGCATGGCCTTTCCTTGCCTGGCCATGTCTTGCCTCGCCTGGCCTTGTCTTGACTTGCCTTGCCTTGTATTACCTTGCCTTGCCTGGACTTGCCTGGCCTGCCCTGGTTTTGTATGACCTGGACTGGCTTGGCTTGGCCTTGCCTAGCCTTACCAAGCTTTCCATTGCCTGTCCTGGAGCTGCCTAAACTTGCCTTTCCTTGCATTGTGTAACCTTGCCTTGTCTAGGCTTCCCTTGCTTTGCATTGCTTTTCTGGCCTGTCCTTCCCTTCCCTTCCCTTCCCTTGCCTTACCATGTCTTGCCTTGCCTTGTATTGCCTTGCCTTGTCTTGCCTTGCCTTGCCTTGTCTTTGCTTGCGTTGCCTTGCCTTGCCTTGCCTTGTCTTGCCTTGACTTGCGTGGCCTTACCTGGCCTAGCCTGGCCTGGTCTGGACTGTCCTGGCCTGTGCTGGCCTTGCCTTGCTATGCTTTGCATTGCTTTGCTTTGCCTGGCCTAGGATTCACAGCCTGGCCTGTCCTGGCCTTGGTTTACCTGGCTTTACCTGGCCTTGCATTGCTTTTCCTGGACTGGCCTTGGCTTGCCTTGCTTTGCTTTGCCTTGCTTTTCCTGGCCTTGCCTGGCCTGGTCTGGCCTGGTTTGTCCTGGCCTTGCCTTGCCTGGCCATGCCTGGCCTGGCCTTGTCTTACCTTGCCTTGCCTTGTATTGCCTTGCCTTGCCTGGCCTTGCATTGCCCTGATTTTGTATGACCTAGCCCGGCCTGGCCTTACCAGGCCATCCATTGCCTGTCTTCGACTTGCTTTACCTTGTATTGCCTTGCCTTGTCTAGCCTTGCCTTGCCTTGGCTCGCCTTGCCTTGCCTTGCCTTGGTTGCCTGGCCTGTCCTACCCTAGCCTTACCTTGCCTTGCCTGGCCTGGCCTGGCCTTGCCTTCATGGCCTGGCCTAGCCTGGGCTTGCCTTGCCTTGCCTGGCCTTGCCTTCCCCTGTATTGCCTTGCCTTGTTTTTCCTTGCTTTGCCCTGCCTTGCCTTGCCTTGCCTGCCTGATCAGGCCTGGCCAGGCCTGGCCTGAACTTGCCTTGCTATGCCTGGCATTGCTTCTCCTGGCCATGCCTTGCCTTGTTTGGCCTGGCCTGGCCACGCCTTGCTTTGCCTTCCCTTGTATTGCATTGCCTTGCCTGGCCTTGCCTGGCCTGGCCAGGTTGTATATGAACTGGGCAGGCCTGGTTGGTCTGGCCTTGCCTGGCCTTACCTGGCTTTGCTTTTACTGTCCTGGACTTGCCTTGTATTACCTTGCCTTGCCTTGCCTTGACTAGCCTTGCCTTGCCTTGCCTTGCCTTGACTAGCCTTGCCTTGCCTTGCATTGACATGACTTGCCTTGCCTTGTCTAGCCTTACCTTGCCTTGCATGACCTTGACTTGCATTTCCTTGCTTTGCCTTGCCTTGCCCTGCTGGCCTTCGCTGGCCTTGCCTGACCTGGACTTAACTAGTCAGCCCTGGCCTTACCTGGTCCTACCTGGCCTTGCATATACTGTCCAGTCCTGGACTGGCCTTATCTTGCCTTGCATGGCCTGGCCTGGCCTTGCCTTCATGGCCTCGCCTGGCCTGGGCTTAACTTGCCTTGCCTTAACCTATATTGCCTTGCCTTGTTTTGCCTTGCTTTGCCCTGCCTTGCCTAGCCTTGCCTGGCCAGGCCTTGCCTTCCGTGTCTTTTCCTGGTCTTCCATTGCCTTGATTGCCCTGGCCTGGCCTGGCCTGGCCTTCACCTGCTTGGCCTTGCCTGGCTTTTTTTTGCCTTGCCTTCCCTGGCCTTATCTGGCCTTGTGTTGCCTGTCCTGGACTGGCCTTGCCTTGCATTGCCTTACCTGGCCCTACCTGGCTGTCCTGGAGTGGCCTTGCTTTCCCTTGCCTTGTCAATGGCTCAGTGTCCAGCTGGAGACCAGTAACGAGTGGCGTCCCTCAGGGATCGGTGTCGGGACCGGTCTTGTTCAACACCTTTGTCGCTGACATGGACAGTGGGATTGAGCGCACCCTCAGCAAGTTTGCCGATGACACCGAGCTGTGTGGTTCGGTTGATACCCTGGAGGGAAGGAATGCCATCCAGAGGGACCTCGACACGCTTGTGAGGTGGGCTGATGCCGACCTCATGGAGTTTAACCATGCCAAGTGCAAGGTCCTACACCTGGGTGGGAGCAATCCCAGGCACAGCTGCAGGTTGGGCAGAGAAGAGATTCAGAGCAGCCCAAGGAGAAGGACTTGGGGGTGTTGGTTGATGAGAAAATGAACATGAGCCGGCTTCAGTGTGCGCTCACAGCCCAGAAACCAACCGTATCCTGGGCTGGATCAAAAGGAGCGTGACCAGCAGGTCGAAGGAGGTGATCCTGCCCCTCTGCTCTGCTCTGGTGAGACCTCACCTGGAGCATTGTGTGCAGTTCTGGTGTCCTCAACATAAAAAGGACATGGAGCTGTTGGAACAAGTCCACAGGAGGCCACAAGGATGATCAGGGACTGGAGCACCTCCTGTATGAAGACAGGCTGAGGAAGTTGGGGCTGTTCAGCCTGGAGAAGAGAAGGCTGCGTGGAGACCTCAGAGCAGCTTCCAGTATCTGAAGGGGGGCTATAGGGATGCTGGGGAGGGACTCTTCATTAGGGACTGTAGTGACAGGACAAGGGGGAACGGGTTCAAACTGAAACAGGGGAAGTTTAGATTGGATATAAGGAGGAAATTCTTTCCTGTGAGGGTGGTGAGGCACTGGAATGGGTTGCCCAGGGAGGTTGTGAATGCTCCATCCCTGGCAGTGTTCAAGACCAGGTTGGATGAGGCCTTGGGTGAGATGGTTTAGTGTGAGGTGTCCCTGCCCACGGCAGGGTGTTCAACTGGATGATCTTAAGGTCCTTTCCAACCCTAAATATTCCATGATTCTATGATTCTATGAAATGTGGGTGAGGAAATGGAGTTGTGAAGTTTGATCCCCCAAAGGGCCGCAGTTCGCCCCATGGAGACCCCACGATCCCCACTGACACCCCCCCTCCGTACCCCCCATTGCCATTTACCCCATTACAGCCCATTGCCCACATTGCCCCCATTACCTCCCATTGCCCCCATAGCCCCATTACACTCCATTGCCCACATTGCCCTCATTGCCCTCCATTGCCCCCATTACCTCCCATTGCCCCCCATTGCCCACATTACCTCCCATCACCCCGCATTGTCTCCATTGCCCCCACTGCGCCCATTACCCCATTGCCCAATTACCCTCCATTGCCCCCCATTACCCCATTGTCCCCATTACCCCATTGCCCCCATTACCCCATTGCCTCCATTACCCCCACATTGGCTACATTGCCCCCCATTATCCCCATTACACTCATTGCCTCCATTACCCCCACATTGGCTACATTGCCCCCCATTATCCCCATTACACTCATTGCCTCCATTACCCGCACATTGGCCCCATTGTCCCCCATAACCCCCATAACAGGAACAGAGCGCGCGTTGGCTGGGGGGGGAAAGGAGGGAGATGGGGGGCGATCGGACCCCTATGCCCCCCTATAGAACCCTATGGGGCAGGGACAGGTTCACACCCACTGCTGGCTCCATGGCTTTATATGGGGGCAATGGCGGTAATGGGGCAATGGGAGCAATTTGGGGTAATGGGGGGCAATGGGGTAAAGGGGGGGGTCTCGGGGTCTCGAGCTCTGCCCCCTGCATCCTGGTACTGGAGCTGCTGCTGCTTCCCCCTCCAAGGGACTCGTAAAGAGACCCCCCCCTCCATGGTCAGACCCTGCAGGGACCCATAGAGACCCCATAGAGAGACCCATAGAGACCCCATAGAGACTCATAGAGACCCATAGAGATCCATACACACCGCAGAGAACCCGAAAGCGACCCAAAGTGAACCATAGAGACCCCATAGAGCCCCCATAGAGACCCCATAGAGCCCCCATAGAGACCCCATAGAGACCCATAGACTACAGGGACTACAACCCTGATCATGCAACGCGGCACCCATAGAGCCCCTTTACGGTGGCGCCCAGCCGGGACTACAACTCCCATCGTGCAGCGCGGCACCCATTGAGCCCCGTTATGGCGGCGCCCAGTTATGACTACAACTCCCATCGTACCCCGCGGCTCCCATAGAACACCATTATACAGACGCCAGGCGGCACTACGACTCCCATCATGCCGCGCGGCACCCAGAGAGCACCACGATGGCGGCGCCCAGCCTGGACTACAACTCCCATGATGCAGCGCGACACCCCTACAGCACCACTAAGGCGGCGCCCGGCTTGGACTACAACTCCCGTCGTGCCGCGCGGCGCTCCCAGCGCGCCAATTTCGGCCATCATGGCGGAGCTGGGCCGCTGGCTCCGGACCGAGCTGGAGCTGCCCCCCAGCGCCCTCCCCTCCGAGCCCGAGCTGCGCAGGTTGGAGCCCGCGGGACCCCCCAGTGGGGGCTTTTGGGGTCCTGGGGGGGTTGGGGTGCTCCTGACCCCCTCTCTTTGTCTCCCCCCCACCTCCAGGCTGTGCACGGGGCCCTGTGCCCCCATCTGGGAGTACATCATGGGCCACGTGCGGCACCCGCGGTGAGGGGGGCACCCCAACATCTGGGGGGAGGAACTGCAACATCTGGAGGGACCCCAAACCTCGGATCGGTCCCTAAAATACGGGGGGGGGGGGGAGTTTGTTCCTATAGGAATGTGAAGAAGATCAAAGGGAACCTGCTGTGGTATCCGCTGCACCCAAAAAAAGGGGGGGTGACCCCAAAGCTGCCCCCTCTGGGGACCCCCAAGCTCCTTGGGGAGACTCCAAAACCCCTCAGGAACCCCCAAACCCCTTTGCCTGTTAGGATCCCCCCCCAAAATTGCATTGGGATCCCAAGACCCCCCCCCAGCACCCCCCAGTTCCCCCCTGTGACCCCCCCCAACCCCTTTTATTCTTCCAAATCCATGCACAGGAGCCCCTAATTTCTTTAGGACCCCTCCAAATCCCATTGGGATCCCCAGGAACCCCCAATTCCCTCCCATGATCCCCCCCCAACTCCTCCTTTAACCCCCCCCCGTTTCCTCCTTAACTCGGGGCTCAGGTACCGGCACCTCGAGGAGATTCAGGTTTGGGGGGGGGGAGGGTTTGGGGGGGCTCTATGGGGTTTTGGGGGGTCCCAGAGGGATGGGGGGGTGGAATGTTTCGGGGGGGCGGAGCAAATATGGGGGGGCAAGTTTTGGGCGGGGGGGGGGGAATTTGAAGGGTGGTGGAGGGGGAAAAAATGGGGCTTAAGGGGGGGGGGTGGTGTTCTCAGGTGACCTTTGGTGTCTCTCCCCAGCGAGGGGCGGGGTCAAGCACGCCTTATATGGAAGTGCGCGAGGCCTTGGAGCAGGTGAGGGCGGAGCTTAAAGTGATGGGCGGGGCCGTGGGCGAGGCCGGGGCAGCGGTGCTGGAGCTGGGTGAGTTCATTGGGGGAGGGGGGGGTAAAGGGGCGGGGCTACCGGTCACCTGACCTGAGGCTCTGCCCCCTTTGTTTCCTTATAGAAGAGGCACTGGGGGCGGAGCTTCGCCGCCAGGGGGCGGAGCGTCGCCGAGGGGCGGAGCTTCGGGCCCTGGCGGCGGAGGCGGCGCAGGAGGGGCTGCGGCTGCGGAGGGAGGGGGCCCAGATAAGCTCCGCCCACGGGTGAGCGAGGAGGGGGCGGGGCTTCCCCATGGGTATCCCAATGGGGGCGGGGGGCAGCATTCCCATGATGCTCTGCGCTTGCAGGGAGCCGGGGCCAAAGGTGGGACTGACGTCGAAATTGGCGGTAAGAAGGGGCGGGGCTTATTGGGAAGGAGGAGGGGCTTATGGACGGGGGAGGGGTCTGAGCGTGGCCACGCCCCCTTTCCGCCCCCCCCCCCCCCAGGCCGTGTGCAAGCTGCGGGAGGAGGCACTGGAGGAGCTGCTGGGGCTCCGCCCCTTGTCGAGGTAAGCCCTGCCCCCTTCAGGGCAAGCCCCGCCCACTTCTGCCCTAAACCCCTCCCTGTCCATCACCCCCCAACCCCCCTGCCCTTCCCATTGCCCCCCCAGGCCGCAGGACCTCACCTTGCTCTGGCTGCAGGAGGCCAAGGTGGGTGCCCATGGGGGGAGGGTGGGGGGGGAGGTGGCTGATCCTAACGGTCATGTGACCCCCCCCTCATGTGACCTGACACCCCCTTCACCCCCCCCATCAGGCACTGCTGAACCAACACAGCCCAGAGGAGGTGCTGGAGGCCCTGCAGACACTGCGGTGAGGGGAGGGGCTTAGGAGAGGGGAGGGGCTTAGGAGGGGGTGAAGCTTTGGGAGGGGGTGGGGCTTAGGAAAGGGGCAGGTCCAGTGGGCTGCTGGGGGTGCGGCTTAAAGGGGGCAGGACTTCCCTTATAAGGATCTGAGGGTGTGGGCCCAGGGCACCAGGGAAGGGGCGGGGCTACCGGTGGGTGGAGCCAACAGAGGGGTGGGGGTTCCATCCTCCCCCACTTCCCCGTTGTTCCATTGCAGGAAGGGGTACCCCAAAATCAGCCCTGACCTTGACCCCGACCCTGACCCTCAGCCCCATATGAAGACCCTCATCCAGGTACATGAGGGGACTTGAGGGGCACATTTGGGGGTGCTTTAGGGCTTGGAGCTCCCCATTGATGTGGGGTCTCCCCTTTGCACCCCCCAGGACTGCTGGGTGGATGTGGGGGGACTCTGGGACCTCACCCACTCCTCGGCCTCCCGGCTGTCCCCCCTGAGGCTCCGGCTCCTCCAGCTGCAGGAGGAGATCCAGCAGCGCCTGCAGGGGGACCCCAAAGCCCAGCAGGCTGCCAGGTAAAGCCCTGCACCCCAAAACACCTCCCTGAGCCCCAAAACCACACGGTGCACCCCAAAACCTTCCCCCCTGCACCCCAAAACCACCCCCATGCACCCCAGAAGCCCGATGGCACCCCAAAACAACACCCCTGCACCCTAAATCTATCCCTCCTACACCCCAAAACAACCAGCTCGGCACCCCAAAACCACCCTATGGATTCCCCCATGCACCAAAAACCCTCTCAGGGACCCCCCGAATGCATCCTGCAGTCAGTTTCTCCCCCCTGCACCCCAAACCTGCCCCTGGGCCCTCCCCCATGACCTTTTCCTCCCCACTCCTGAACCCCAGAACCCTTTAGGGACCCTCTCTGTACTTTAAACCTCCCTGAGTTTCCTTCTGAAGTGGGTGCTGGGCTCATAGGGGTCCTTAAAGCCCCCCCAGATTCTCCCTAAACCCAGTGCTGAGACCTTTTGGGGTGCCCCCAACCCCTCCATGGTCCCTGCAGCCCTTTTAGGGTCCTTAAACCCCCCCCAGATTCTCCCTAAACCCAGTGCTGAGACCTTTTGGGGTGCCCCCAACCCCTCCATGGTCCCTGCAGCCCTTTTAGGGTCCCCAACCCCCCCGCCCCTCAAAATAGGTTCTTGAACCCTTTCGGCCCCCCAAACTCCCCTCAACGTTTGGCTTTGGGGCCCCCCCTTGCTACCAGGTTGATGCTGGAGGCCGCAGGGCTCTCAGGGGCTCGGGAGGCTCTGATCCATCAGGTCCAGGAGCTACGGGGCAGCCCCATGGACTCCCCAGAAGCTGCCCTGGGGCCGCTGAGGAGGCAGCTGCAGGAGGGGAAGCAGCGGCTGGTGGGTGCCAACGGGGGAATATGGGGATTTGGGGGGGTGCTGATGGGCTTGGGGGGGTCTGGGGGGTGGAATTTGATGGTTATGGGGAGGGGTTGGGGTCCCTAAAGGGTCCCAGCGCCGCTTTTGGGGAGGGATGAGGGATATTTGAGGGTCCTGTGGGGGGATTTTGGGTCTATAGGGGATGATATGGAGGAGTTTGGGGCTTTAGGGGGGATTTTGGGAGTTCAGCATTGCTGGGAGGGGGATCTGGGGCTTCTGGATGGGTTTGGGGTGAAGGGAGAGGTTTGGGGGGGAAATATGGGGTGATATTTAAGGTGTTTGGGGGTCTTGGGGGGTATTTGGGTCCCTCCCATGGCTTTGGGGTCCCTCATTTCCTTGTGTCCCCCCCCTCCATCCCTTCCAGTCCCGTCGCTGGATCCAGCTCCGGGCTCTGGGCGCATCCAATGGGAAGCTCCAGGCGCAGCTGCGCCCCCTGCAGGCCCAGGTGAGCAAAGAGGGGGAGGGAAGTGGGGCGGGGCTTAACGGTGAGTGGGCGGCGCCTCACCCCCTTGGCCACGCCCCTTTCAGGCCCGAGGAGCTGTGCGGCTCCCCCCAGGGCTGCAGGGGGAAGGGCAGCGGCTGCAGGAAGCGCTGAGCATGCTGGGAAAGGAGAGGGTGCCCCTCCCCCCGAGGTGAGTACATTGGGGGGGGGGAGGGGGGTGGGGGAGGGGGGTGAAGGTCTGTGCTGACCCCTCCCTTCTCCCTTTAGCCCCGCCCACAGCCCACTGCAGCCAATCAGACGTGCCCTAGGAATGGCAGAGAGTGAGGTGGGGGAGGGGCCATAATGGGGGGAGGGGACATAAAGGGGGAGGGGAATTGGAAGGAGGGGCCACAGAGGGGGCAGGGGTCATAAAGGGGGGAGGGCCATAAAGGGGGAGGGGCAATGGGAGGAGGGGCCATAAAGGGGGGAGGGGCAATGGGGCCGTTGCTCAGGGGTGTTTGTGCCTCAGCCCCCACAGGGGGCGCTGTTGCGGGTGGCAGAGCTGCGGGGGGAGCTGGAACAGCTGCAGGGGGCGTGGTCAGCGCAAAGGGCGTGGTCAGCGCAAGGGGCGGGACCCGAGAAGCCCCGCCCACCCCGCGGTGAGTGAAGGGGAGGAGATGGGGGGGTGAGGGTGTGGCCGGCGCTGACCCCGCCCCTTTTCAGCACCCGCGGAGGGCGTGGCCATCGCCGAGCTCCTCCCCCAGCTGCAGGCGCTGTCCATTCGGGTCCAGCAGTGCCTCGAGGGCTGGCCCCACCTCCAGGACGTCATCAGCCAATGGTGAGGCGACGAGGGTGGGTCCGTGAGATGCCACGCCCACCATGTGTGATGTCACATCCCCCCTTCCCCCCTCCTTCGTCTCCCATAGGTGGGAGCAGCCGGCTCAGTGGATACCGGCCACGCCTCCCAGCAGCATCCCCTTCTCCCATTGGCTGAGGCGCTGGTCCCAGGCCACGCATGCCCTGAACTTGCACCGCCCCCTCCCCTTAGCCCCGCCCACCAGCGACGAGGAAGGGTGTGACCAGAGGAAGCCCCACCCCTGAGCCTCGGTTTCATCAGATGCTCCTATTGGATGGGGTGCAGGAGGCGGGGCTTGGAGGAGGGCAGAGCCACAGGGCTGAGTTCCTGGAAGCGTAATAGAGCAGGTCCTATAGAAATAAAGCAGTAAATAAAGTAGGTCCTGTGTTAATTACATGTAAATGAGGTTGCACCCATGTTAATGAGATGCAAAGCAGGTCTTGTGTTAATAAACTCCTCCCACCTACAATAACAGCATGTCAACAAAGCAGAGCCTCCAATAACAATGCACAGATAACGTGTGGCCTACAGTAACACATAAATAAAGCAGGTCCTACAGTAACGAAAGTGTAAACAAAGCAGGTCCTGACATAATAAACCCCCTAATAAAGCAGGACCTACAATAACAGCCTGGGAATAAAGCAGGACCTACAGGAATATGTAAATGAGACAGGCTCTGTGTTAATGACAGGTACATAAAAGTAGGTCCTACATTAACTTGTAAATAAGTTACTCAATAAAGTGGGTCCTGACATAACAACCACCCCCAATACAGTAGGTCCTACAGGAATGAAACTGTAAATACAACATGTAAATAAAGTAGGCCCTACATTAATAACTCCCTCAGCAAATTGGGTCCTACAATAATACCTCCCCGATAAAGTAGGACCTACAATAAGGGCCCATAAATGAAGTAGGTCCTGTCCCAATACCCTGTCAATAGAGCAGATCCGACAGCAAACGTACATAAAATAGGTCCTACGTTAATAAGTGAGTAAATACAGGAGGTCCTGGCACAGCACCATGTAAATACAGGAGGTCCTACAGTAAGAACGTGCAAATAGGGGTGGCTCTATGTTAATGACATGTAAATAAAGCAGGTCCTCCACTAAAAGGACACAAATTAAGTAGGCCCTACATTAATAACATGTAAATAAGGAAGGGTCTATGTAAGTAACATGCAAATAAGGTCAGCCCTACGTGAGTTGCGTGTGGATAAAGCAGGTCTTACGCTAATTGCATGTAAATAAGGGGGGTGTAACGATGGTGGGATGAGAAATGGGGAGGGATGGAGGGAGAGGGGGAGAAATGGCAGGAATGTGGGGAATGGGGGTGGGAAAAAGGGGGAGGGGGAATGGGGGGGCATAAGGGGGGGAGGGGAGAAGATGGGGATGCGGTGGGGGAGGGGAAGTGGGGGACAAATGGGGGGGGCAGGGGCAAGGAAAAGCCCCATATTCAGCCCCATGGGGGGGGCGGCCGGGACGGGGTTAAACGGGGACACGAGTTGGGGAGAGCTCAGAGCTGATTGGCTGTTGCCTGGCAACGCGCGGGAAGCGGAGACGCCGTTGCTTAGCAACCAACCCGGAAGTGCGGCGAGCATCGCCCAACGGGGATGGGGAAAGGCCGAAACGGGGGGGGGAGGGGCCTCGATTTCCTGTGAAATCTTTATTTATTGGTTAATTTTCCTTTTTATACATTCTTTAGGTGACCGCTCCCGCCTCCCCTCCCCCCTCCCCCCGCTATTTACACCGGTGTCAATAAGGCTTCGGATAGACCCCCCCACCCCCATCCCCCCTTTATCCTCCCCTCCCCCATCCCGGGTATAAAGAGGGGGGAGGTGTGTTCCCCCCCCCGACACCCCCGGGTGGGGGATGGGAGGTTGTGTCCATTGGGGACCCTCCCCCCCCCCCACCGTTTTGGGGTGCTGGGGGGGGGGAGGTGAGGCCCATCCCCCCCCCCGTTCCCCACAGACAGTTCATCAACAGGCACTTAATGACCCCCCCGCACCTTCCCCCCCACCCCCCCCCCCCGTTTTTGGTTACATGAAGCCGTTTCTACAGGGAACCCCCTCAAAACGGAGGAAACCCCCCCTGGCGGGGTGGGGGAGGGGCTGTGCCGGCGGCCCCGCCCCCCACCTTTCCCCCCCACCCCGGGTGTTTAAGGGGGCGTCAAAAACCCCCACCCAAGTTGTGCTTAAGAGCCCGTTTTTGAGGGGATCCCGCCCGTTCGGAGCGTCCGGAACGGTCCGTGGGGCAGATCCCGCCCGTTCGGAGCGTCCGGAACGGTCCCTGGGGCTGATCCCGCCCGTTCGGAGCGTCCGGAACGGTCCCTGGGGCTGATCCCGCCCGTTCGGAGCGTCCGGAACGGTCCGTGGGGCTGATCCCGCCCGTTCGGAGCGTCCGGAACGGTCCCTGGGGCAGATCCCGCCCGTTCGGAGCGTCCGGAACGGTCCCTGGGGCAGATCCCGCCCGTTCCCCTGGAAAACCCGCCTCTTCTGGGGCGTTCCCGCCCGTTTTGGGAGCTCCCCCCCGCGTTTTGAGGGGATTCCCACCCGTTTTAAGGGATTTCCCCCCCCCCCCCCCCCGTTTGGGGGCGTTCCTGCCACTTCCGAGGCGTTTCAACCCATTCCTTAGGAGATTCCTGCCCGTTTCGGGGGTGCCCCACCCGTGTCCGGGGGATTCCCGCGCTTTTGGACTTGTTCCCGCCCGTTTTGGGTTGTTCCCGCTTATTTCTGGGGAGGTCCCGCCCGTTTTTGGGTGGTTATCACCCGTTTTGGGGGGAGTTTTGGACTCCCCCGTCCCCCAAAACTCCCACCTAAGGGGGGGGGAGTATGTAAAACAACAAAAAAGAAGGGAAACCCCCTAAAAACCCTATGGGGGGGCCCCATTCCCTGCATATAACCCTGCTGGACACCCCCCCCCCATTCCCCCCCCCCAACTTCCAACCAGCCCAAAAGGATGGGGGGGGGCACCCCAAACTTGGGGGGAGGGAATGGAAATCGGGTGCGGAGCCCCAAGTTAAGGCAATGGGGACCCCTCCCCTTCCCCAAATTCACCCCCCCCCCCCCCCATTATGAGTCCAGGGAGAGCTGGGCCGTGGCGCGCTGCAGGTCGGTGCTCACCCTCCTGCCCCCCCCCCCCAGATTTGGGGGCCCCCCTTTCCCTTTCTTATCCTCATTGGAATGGGGGGGGAAGGTCCCCACTTCCTCCCTTTCCCCTTCCGTCCCCCCCCTCCTCCGCTCCTCGCTCCAACGCCGCTTAAAGCGCAGCTTAAGGGGGACACAAGGCTGGGGGGGGAGAGGGGGAGAAGGGGGCACGGCCCGGCCCCCCCCCACCGCTTCCTCTTCCTCCTCTTCCTCCTCCTCCCCATTGCGGGGCCGGGGGGGTTTGAAGACTTCATCCTCCTCCTCCTCCTCGCTCACATCCGTCACTTCCACCGTCTCCTCCTCCGACACCGCCTCCACTTTGATATGGGGGGGCTCCTGCGCCGTCGCTGTCGTCGCCGTCCCCCCCCCACCCCCCCCACCAGGTGACGATGACGATGATGATGATGGAGGGGGCGCCGCATCCCGGCCTTTCTCCCTCTGCCTCCTTCCCGGCGGCGGGGGCTGGAGTTTGAACGGGAAAAGGGGTTCGGAAGCGGGGGGATGCTGCTGTTGATGTGGGGGTGCGTGGTGTGGAGGCGGGGGGGGTGGTGCCGGTGGCGGGGGGGGGGGCAGCAGCAGCCCCGGGCAGGGGGAGGAAGGCGCGGGGGCTCAGGTGGTAGCTGTAAACGCTGCGGGTCTGCGCCGCTAGCGCCCTCTGCAGGTCCTCGGCGCTGAAGGAGAAGTGGGACCCCCCCCCGCGGGGAAAAGGGGGCTCAGGGTGGGGGACGGGGCGAAACCGACGTGGGGGGGGGTCAAGGGCAGCGCCGGGGATAAGGGGGGAGGGGGGAGGAGACCCCCGGTGCCCCCCCCACCTCCTCCCCCTCCCCCCGCGGCCGGTAACGGGGACCCCGCGAAAGGCGGGGGGGGGGGGAGGAGGAGGGGTGTAAAGGCGGAAAAGGGCGTCTGGGGTCAAGCGCGGGGGGGGTGGGGATGGGGGGGGAGGGGTCCGGAAGCTGCCCCCGCCCCCCCCCGAAAGAGGGGGGAGGGGGGGAGGGGGTAAGGGGGGGAGGGGGTCCCCGGCACCCCCCCCTTCCTCGAGCTCGGAGCCGTCGCTGAGGGAGCCGAGGCGGCGCGAGAAGGAGGAGGAGGAGGAGGAGGAGGAGGAGGAGGAGGAAGAGGAAGGGGGGGGGGGCGAGGGCGGCTTCCACAGTGGGGGGGGAAGGGGAGGGGAGAGCCCCTCAGATGCGGTGGGGGAGGGGCCGGCAAGGGAAGGGGGGAGGGGGGGGAAGCAGAAATGGGGGGTGCCCCCCCCCCCTCCGCCGCCCCCCCCTCCGAGCGAGGGCAGCGGGGGCGCGCTCTGCGGCAGCGGCGGGCCTGTAGGGGGCGGTAAAGCGCGGTTAGGAGGAAAGGGGGCGTGGCTATTGGGGGGCCACGCCCCGTTTTCCCGCGCTCCCGGCGGTACCTGCGAGCCCCACGTCGATGAAGGGGTAATTGACCAGCACCAGCTTGTGAAGTTGAACTTGTAGGTGAAGCGTTTGCCTTTGGTCTTGTGTAGGATGCGCTTGTTGTAGTAGTACCTGTGGGGCAGGGTGTGGGGCAGGGTGTGGGGCTGGGACCCATCCGTGGGCCCCATTGCGTCCCGGTGCCCCCAGAGCTGCCCGCAGCGTCGCTTTATCTTGTGCTTGTTGGAGTAGTAGCTTGGGGGGGGGGGGGGGGGAAGATGTGGGGTGGGGATGTGGGGCTGAGACCCCCCCCATGTCTGTTGTATATGGGAATAGATATAGGTCTGGAGCAGCCAGGTTGTTCCTATGGGGATGGGACTGCTGGGTCCTTTGGATGGGGAGATGTGGGGATGGGAGCCCCATATCCTTTCTATGGGGAGATGTGGGGCTGGGAGCTCCATATCCTTTCTATGGGGAGATATGGGGCTGGGAGCTGTATATCCCTTCTACAGGGAGATATGGGGCCTAAACACCTGGGTGCTTTCTATGGGGAGATGTGGGGCTGGGAGCTGTATATCCTTTCTACAGGGAGATATGGGGCCCAAACACCTGGGTGCTTTCTATGGGGAGATGTGGGGCTGGGAACTCCATATCCTTTCTATGGGGAGATGAGGGGCTGGGAGCTCCATATCCTTTCTATGGGGAGATGTGGGGCTGGGAGCTCCATATCCTTTCTATGGGGAGATATGGGGCTGGGAGCTGTATATCCCTTCTACAGGGAGATATGGGGCCCAAACACCTGGGTGCTTTCTATGGGGAGATGTGGGGCTGGGAGCTCCATATCCTTTCTACGGAGAGACATGGGGCCCAAACACCTGGGTGTTTTATATGGGGAGATGTGGGCCTGGGAGCTCCAAATCCTTTCTATGGGGAGATGTGGGGCTGGGAGCTGTATATCCCTTCTATGGGGAGATATGGGGCCCAAACACCTGGGTGCTTTCTATGGAGAGACGTGGGGCTGGGAACTCCATATACTTTCTATGGGGAGATGCGGGGCTGGGAGCTCCATATCCTTTCTACGGGGAGATATGGGGCCCAAACACCTGGGTTCTTTCTATGGGGAGATGTGGGTCTAGCAGCCCCAGATCACTTCTATATCGAGTCCTTTCTATAGGGAGATGTGGGGCCCAGGCCCCTGTGCTGGCTCTATGGGAACACGTGGGTCTGGGACCCCCAGATCCTTTCTATGGGGAGATGTGGAGCAGAACACCCAGAAGCCACCTCACCATTCACTTGGCGGTACCAGCATGGCCTGGCCACCACCTCCCCTGCCCACGTGGAGATGTGGGGCTGGAACCTCCACCATCCCCTACCCCACAAGCACCAAATACGCACCCCATAAGTGACCCATAAGCACCCTGCAAGCACCCCACATGTGCCCCATAAGCACCCCATAAGCACCTCATAAGCACCCAACAAGTGACCCATAAGAGCCCCATATGTGCCCCGTAAGCACCCACCAAGTGCCCTATAAGCACCCCATATGTGCCCCATAAGTGACTAATAAGCATCCCGTAAGTGACCCATAAGTGCCCCATAGGCACCCCATATGCACCCCTTAACCAACCCATAAGCAGCCCATAAGCCCCCCATATATGCCCCATAAGCACACCATATGCAAACCGTAAGTGCCCCATAAGCACCCCATATGTGAATCATAACCACACCACAAGAGCCCCGTATGTGCCCTATAAGGGCCCAATAAGCACCCCATACACACCCCATAAGCACCCCACAAGCACCCCATACACACCGCACAAGCGCCCCATACACACCCCATACACACCCTGTAAGTGCCCCACAGGCGCCCCATAAGCACCCCATACACACCCCGTAAGCACCCCAGAAGCACCCCTTACACACCCCATAAGCGCCCCACAAGCATCCCATAAGCACCCCACACCCCGTAAGCGCCCCACACCCCGTAAGCGCCCCACAAGTGCCCCATAAGTGCCCACCTGAGCGCCCTGCTGAGCTTGTCGTAGTTCATGTGGGGCTTGCACTTGCGCACCCCCCAGAGCCGGGCCACCTCATCGGGGTCCTTGATAACGAACTCGCCGCAGTCCCCCTGCCAGGCGATGAGCTCCCGGTACCGCTCCTGCCGGAGCAGCTCCAGGATGAAGTGCCACAGCTGGATCTGCCGGGAGCCGGGGCTCGACTCCGCCTTGTACGCCCAGTCCGGGAAGGCGAAGCCTAAATGGGGACACAAAGATGGAGAGGGGTGTATTGAGGTGTATTGGGGGTGTATTGAGGTGTATTGAGGTGTATTGGGGTGTATTGAGGTGTATTGAGGTGTATTGGGGTGTATTGAGGTGTATTGAGGTGTATTGGGGGTGTATTGGGGTGTATTGGGGGTGTATTGGGGGTGTATTGAGGTGTATTGGGGGTGTATTGGGGTGTATTGGGGTGTATTGGGGGTGTATGGGGGTGTATTGGGGTGTATTGAGGCGTATTGGGGGTGTATTGAGGTGTATTGGGGGTGTATGGGGGTGTATTGAGGTGTATTGGGGGTGTATGGGGGTGTATTGGGGTGTATTGAGGTGTATTGGGGGTGTATTGGGGGTGTATTGAGGTGTATTGGGGGTGTATTGGGGTGTATTGAGGTGTATTGGGAGTGTATGGGGGTGTATTGGGGGTGTATGGGGGTGTACTGGGGTGTATTGGGGGTGTATTGAGGTGTATTGGGGTGTATTGGGGGTGTATTGGGGTGTATGGGGGTGTATTGAGGTGTATTGGGGTGTAAACGAGTGTAAAGGGGTGTATACGGATGTAGGGATGTATAGGGATGTATAAGGGTGTAAGGATGTACAGGGGTGTATGGGTGAATGCGTATAGGGGTGCGTAAGTGTATGGGTGTACGGGTGTGTGGCTGAATGGCTGTATGGGTATATGCATGTACGGGTATATGGGTGTACAGATGTATGGGTGCATGGGTGTCTGGGTAAATAGGTGTATGGGTGTAGAGGTATATGGGTGTATGGTTGTATGGCTGTAGGGGTAAATAGGTGTATGGGTGTAGAGGTACATGGGTGTATGGTTGTATGGCTGTATGGGTAAATAGGTGTATGGGTGTAGAGGTACATGGGTGTATGGTTGTATGGCTGTAGGGGTATATAGGTGTATGGGTGTAGAGGTACATGGGTGTATGGTTGTATGGCTGTAGGGGTAAATAGGTGTATGGGTGTAGAGGTACATGGGTGTATGGTTGTATGGCTGTATGGGTAAATAGGTGTATGGGTGTAGAGGTACATGGGTGTATGGTTGTATGGCTGTATGGGTATATAGGTGTATGGGTGTAGAGGTACATGGGTGTATGGTTGTATGGCTGTATGGGTAAATAGGTGTATGGGTGTAGAGGTACATGGGTGTATGGTTGTATGGCTGTAGGGGTAAATAGGTGTATGGGTGTAGAGGTACATGGGTGTATGGTTGTATGGCTGTATGGGTAAATAGGTGTATGGGTGTAGAGGTACATGGGTGTATGGTTGTATGGCTGTAGGGGTAAATAGGTGTATGGGTGTAGAGGTACATGGGTGTATTGGTTGTATGGCTGTAGGGGTAAATAGTGTATGGGTGTAGAGGTACATGGGTGTATGGTTGTATGGCTGTATGGGTAAATAGGTGTATGGGTGTAGAGGTACATGGGTGTACGGTTGTATGGCTGTAGGGGTAAATAGATGTATGGGTGTAGAGGTACATGGGTGTATGGTTGTATGGCTGTAGGGGTAAATAGGTGTATGGGTGTAGAGGTATATGGGTGTATGGTTGTATGGCTGTAGGGGTAAATAGGTGTATGGGTGTAGAGGTATATGGGTGTATGGTTGTATGGCTGTAGGGGTAAATAGGTGTATGGGTGTAGAGGTATATGGGTGTATGGTTGTATGGCTGTAGGGGTAAATAGGTGTATGGGTGTAGAGGTATATGGGTGTATGGTTGTATGGCTGTATGGGGTATCTGTGTGGGTAGACATAATAAGTGCCAGAGCCGGATCTGCTGAGAGCCGGGGCTCAACTACACCTTGTACAACCGGTCCGGGAATGCAAACCCTGCCACAGGGATACAGGCATACAGGGATCCAATCTGGGTATATGGGTACATGGATATATGGATGTATGGGTATATAGGTATATGGATGTATGGGTATATAGGTATATGGATGTATGGGTGTACGGGTTTACGGTTGTATGGGTATATGGGTGTATGTGTACATGGATGTACAAGTGTACGGCTGTATGGGTGCATGGGTATAAAGGTGTATGGGTGTATGGGTACAAAGGTGTATGACTGTATGTGTATACAGCTGCATGGGTGTATGGGTATATGGGTGTCCAGGTGAACGGACATACGGCTGTATGGGTGTACAGGTGTATGGGTGTACGGGGGTATGGGTATATGTGTGTATGTCTATATGGATGTACAGCTGCATGGGTGCATGCGTGTGAGTGTATATGGATGTATGGGTGTATGGGTTTATGGGGTTGTATAGGTAATAGGTATACAGGTGTCTGGGTATATGGGTGCATGGGTGTATAGGTATATGGGTGAGTAAGTGTATGGCTATATGGCTGTATAGGTGTATGGGTATACGGCTGTATGGGTGTACGGCTGTATGTACATGTGTATGGGTGCATGGGTGTATGGGTATATGGGTGTATGGGTGTATATGTATATGGATGTACAGGTGTACAGCTCTATGGGTGCATGGGTTTATTGGTATATGCCTGTATGGGTATACAGCTGTATGGGTGTACGTGTATATAGGTGCATGGGTATATGGGTGGGTGTATAGGTATAGAGTTGTGTGGGTAGGTATATGGGTGCATGGGTGCAATGTATATGGGCATATGGGTATATGGGTGTACGGCTGTACGTATGTATGGTTGCATGGGTGTACAGGTGTATGCCTGTATGGGTGTATGTACATATGGATGTACGGGTGTATGGATATATGGGTGCATGGGTGCATGAGCATGAGTATAAAGGTGCATGAGTGTATGGGTACACGGCTGCATGGGTGAATGGGTATTTGGGTATATGGGTGTATCGGTGTATATGTATAGGGGTGTACGGGCGAGCAGACGTATGGGTGTATGCATGTATGAGTGTATGGGTATAGGGGTGTATGGCTGCATGGGTATATGGGTGAGTAAGTGTATGGCTACATGGATGTACAGGTGTACAGGTGTATGGGTATATGGGTGTATGTGTGCATGGGTGTATGGGTGTACAGGTATATAGGTGTATGGGTGTCTGTGTGTACGGATGTGTAGGTGTATGGGTGCATGGGTGTATGGGTGCATGGGTGCACAGGTTTATGGATGTATGTGTGTATGTGTGTATAAGTATACGGGTGTATGTGAATATGGATGTATGGCTGTATGGGTGTACGGGTATACAGATGCGTGCGTATATGGGTACGAGTGCATTTGTGTATGAGTGCATGGGTATATGGGTGTAAGGGTGTATGGGTACATGGGTGTAAGGGTGTAAGTGCGTATGGGTGTACAGGTGTACATGTGTATGGGTTTATGGGTGTATGTGTGAATGGGTGTACATGTGTATGGGTTTATGGGTGTAAGGAGTATGGGTGTACATGTGTATGGGTTTATGGGTGTACATGTGTATGGGTTTATGGGTTGTAAGGGAGTATGGGTGTACATGTGTATGGGTTTATGGGTGTATGTGTGAATGGGTGTACATGTGTATGGGTTTATGGGTGTAAGGGAGTATGGGTGTACATGTGTATGGGTTTATGGGTGTACATGTGTATGGGTTTATGGGTGTAAGGAGTATGGGTGTACATGTGTATGGGTTTATGGGTGTATGTGTGAATGGGTGTATGGGAGTATGGGTGTACACGTGTATGGGTTTATGGGTGTATGCGTGAATGGGTGTATGGAGTATGGGTGTACATCTGTATGGGTTTTATGGGTGTATGTGTGAACGGGTGTACATGTGTATGGGAGTATGGGTGTACATGTGTATGGGTTTATGGGTGTATGGGAGTATGTGTGTACATGTGTATGGGTTTATGGGTGTATGTGTGAATGGTGTACATGTGTATGGGAGGTATGGGTGTACATGTGTATGGGTTTATGGTGTATGGGAGTACGGATGTACAGGTATATGGGAGTATGGGTGTACATGTGTATGGGAGTATGGGTGTACATGTGTATGGGTTTATGGGTGTATGTGTGAATGGGTGTATGGGAGTATGGGTGTACACGTGTATGGGTTTATGGGTGTATGCGTGAATGGGTGTACATGTGTATGGGAGTATGGGTGTACATGTGTATGGGTTTATGGGTGTATGTGTGAACAGGTGTACATGTGTATGGGGAGTATGGGTGTACATGTGTATGGGTTTATGGGTGTATGTGTGAATGGGTGTATGGGAGTACAGGTGTACATGTGTATGGGTTTATGGGTGCATGGGAGTACGGATGTACAGGTATATGGGAGTACGGGTGTACATGTGTATGGGAGTATGGGTGTACATGTGTATGGGTTTATGGGTGCATGGGAGTACGGATGTACAGGTATATGGGAGTATGGGTGTACATGTGTATGGGAGTATGGGTGTACATGTGTATGGGTTTATGGGTGTATGTGTGAATGGGTGTAGGGAGTACAGGTGTACATGTGTATGGGTTCATGGGTGTATGTGTGAATGGGTGAATGGGTGTATGGAGTATGGGTGTACATGTGTATGGGTTTATGGGGGTATGGGAGTATGGGTGTACATGTGTACGGGTTTATGGGTGTATGGGAGTATTGGTGTACATGTGCATGGGTTTATGGGTTTATGGGTGTACATGTGTATGGGTTTATGGGTGTATGGGAGTACATGTGTATGGGTTTATGGGTTTATGGGTGTACATGTGTACGGGTGTACATGTGTATGGGTGTATGGACATAGGAAGTAACAGAGCTGGATCTGCAGAGAGCCGGGTCTCGACTCCACCGTGTACACCCAGCACGGGAACGCAAACCCCGCCATAGGGATACAGGGATATAGGGATGCATAGGGGTACACGGTGTACGGGGATCTGGTTGTATATGGGTCTATGGGTGCATCGGTGCACGGCTATATGGGTGTATGGTGTGTGGGTATACGGGTGTAAGCGTGTATGGGTGTATGTGTATATGAGTGTTGGGGTATATAGGATTCATGGACATAGGGATTCATGGAT